GGGGGGGGTGGGGGGGGGGGGGGAAGCCCAGCCCAGCCCCGACAGCGCCTTTGTTGTCGCCGGGCTTCTCCCCCTAGGAGCTCGTCGTGCACGAAAGGGAACACCCCGGCGAGATCTACCTCTCCCGGGAGCCCAGGGTGCCCACCGCCGCCCTCGGGCCCAGCCTGCCTTTTTTGGGGCTACTAGGGCTGGGGCTGAGCCGCATCCCGCCCCCCCGCCCACCCCGCCTCTCAAACTGGGCTGTAGGGAACAAAATGGTGAATTGGGGCACTGCAAAGCGTCCCCGACCCAGTGACTTTCACCCCTATTCTTCTCCCTTGAAACCCCATTAGTCCCCCCGGGGACCATAGCCACACAGTAAGTAACTCCACGGACGGGAAAATCGCTGCCCCTGGCGGGGAGGGCGACGATAAGCCCCCTCAGACCGAGCCCACAAAGAGGACGCGCGCTGGAGGAGTCCCGGCCCAAGAAGGGGTGTGGGCGATGGAAGCACCCCCGGCCCCACTTACTTCGTCCTCGGCTCCAGGGCCGGCGGCTGCTGGCGGCTGTCGCGGGGGCCGAGGGCGCTGCCGGCGGGTCTCGTCTCTGCTCTGCTCTGCCCCGTCTCGTCCGTCCCCTCCCTCCCTAGTTCCCAGCGGCGCGGGGCGGGCCCGGTGCTGTCGTGTGGATGTCGCTGCTGTGCCCCCAGAGCCGCCCGCGCCCTGGCCCCGAGTGAGCCAACTCACGGCAAACTTTCACCCTTAGCAACCTCTCGGCGCACGGATCCGCTCCCACCCCGCGTGATGCGGCCGCGGGGGGCGGGCCGGGACTACTTCCCCCTCCCGTCGCCGTCCGCAGCCACCGGAATGGACGGGAGGGCTGGGTCGGCGGAGTCTCCTCTGCTGCCCCTCGGGCACCGGGAGTATCCCGGATTCGAGCTCAAGGGAAGGCTGGAGGGGGCCGCGACCTTAGCGGGGATTGACCTGAGGATTCCCCCAAGCGGTTTAGCCTGAGGCGACGCGGGGGGAGGGGGGGGTGGGTTGTGAGGGGAATCGAACGGATCGGGGAGGGACGGGACCGGCCGGCGTGGTCCCCGCCCCCGAGCACTGTGGGTACGGTCAAACCCCAGCTCTGTGGCAAGGCCAGCCCCGGGACTCCCGAAGAAACAATTTCCCGCACACTCCAAGCACGTCTGCGAAGACCCCCGTGGTGGAGTCCCCCTCCCCGCTACGGTGGAGGAGCTAGGGGAGACGTGCCCACGGGCAATCCCGGCTCCCTCCATCGTTGCAAAGCCCTCGGGATCCCTGGTCCCCGATGAGAGCAGGGAGCCCGGGGGACTGTGAGCGCATCTCCCCGGGGAACAACGGGGCAAAGCCAAACAGGGCGGGCTGGTGTCACGGCGGGGAGGACAGGAGCAGCACGGCCACCTCCGCGCCCCCGAGACGGGGATGGAGACCCCGCCCCCGGCATGCGTTCCCCGCCTCCCGAACTATTTTGTCACCGCACGCCTGTGTCCCTCCGCCTCCAACAGAGGAGGGCCGGGCCGGCCCCGCCGCGGTGGAGACGAGAGACCCGCAAGATGCGCGAGCGCCGGCCATGCTAAAAATAACTGCGGCGTGTTAGCAACAGCCTTCCCATTGGCTGGCCAGGCCCGGCGGCGCCTTCGGATTGGAGCGCTCCCTCAGCCAGTGAGCCGAAGGGGGTGTGCGCGGTGGGCACTGCCGGGCGCGGCGCGGGGGCTGCTGGGAGATGTAGTCACCGGGGCGGCCACGGCCTACCCCGCACCGCGGGACGTTCGCGTGTTCGGGCAGGGCTCGGGGTCACAGGCTGTCCTGGGGAAGGACAACCACGGCCATCCCTGGGGCTACGTCCGATGGTGGCACCTCCACCGCCAAAGGCTGAGATGCCCACTAGCAAGCCGAAGGCACTCTCAGCCAGCAGACAAACATATCCTCACCCTTTATTTCAAAGCAGAACTATTGCTAGTTCCAGGAAAATTAAGAAAATGTCTAGAGGCATCCCCAGGCCGTGTATGTTGCAGTCCAAGGTCACACCACCTTCCTTCACAAACCACTTGCTAAGGCTGCTTGCTGTCCGCACATAAAGCAGCTTTTGACCCAAGTAATACTCCAAACTAGTAGAAAGGACACCAAGAACGGTGTTTCCAGGCTCTCCCAGCCACGTGTCCTACATTTTCCTTGGTGCTGACACAAGCAGAGGGTGACACAGGCATTACCACAGTCCCTGTTGCAGCAGGGTTAGCTGGCATGGCAACCATCTCCCAAGTGCAAAAATACGAAGTTCATCTCTTGCCCCATTTCCACAACAGGCCTCCTTCTGGGTTTGGTTTGTCCTCCCTCATTCAGGAATACTTTACCTCACGTACTGCCTTTGCCACAGAAGAGCATTTCTTTTGAGGCCAGCCAACACCGTGTATTAAGAAACCTATTAATGTTCCTTCCCAGCCACAGCAGCCAGCCTTTCTCATTTTCCCACTGATTACAGACAATAACTTTTGAAGTTGGTTTTTTTCCTACAGGGGAAGGGGAAAGAGAAGTGGAAGATTTATGAGAGCTATTATGAGCAGCCTTATTTTCATCACTCCTATCTTAAAAGAAATTTAGTTACAAAAGAACACCTTTTTTTTTTTTTTCCAATTATTCCCTTGCTTTGGTGGAAACAAAATCATAGTGCCAGCCAAAGATCAGGAAATTAAAATGACTGAGCTATTTTTAGCATCATTAAGTAAAAAAAAAGCAATTACATTTCTAAAATTCTATTATTGTTTTAATAAGGTGTTACTAAGAGGGTGTTACATATTAGGGCTCTTTAAAATACCTGTGCCTTGACTGTGCTCCTTTAATTATGGCATTGCCCTTGTACACATGCAGGCAGAGGAATTCTGTCACAGTATCTGCTCCTGCATTCTCAGCCATTTGGCTATTACGTCAAAGCAAAGCTCCCGTGTGTATGGGGAGGGGAGCAATTGCCAAGCCACTGGGACAGAGCTCGTTTGGTTGGGTTATTTAATGCCAAGGAAGGGGAGTCAGGTTATAATTGGGCATAATTAATATCGCCGTATCCTGAATCCTCTCTACATTCAATTCACATGACAACCCCAAGGAAATGAAAAATTCTTTCCTACTATTGAAAGAGGCAAACATCTCCAGCTGATGTCTGTAATGAGAAAATAACAGCTCCTGTGCAGATAAGATTTCAGAAGCGAGATTTTGTCCATGCAGCTCCCACAGGAAAAGCTCACAGGCAGATTCCAGACCTCTACCTACCTTTTCTTTTCGTTGTGTCTCTTTCTAAAGAAAAGTAGTGCTTGGGGCTCAAGGGCTTTGTCAAGACAAGGTCTAGGTGATTCAAGGGACTAGATGTATGTTACAGAGCTATTTGCTGAGCTCAGCTGTAGTTGTGGCTGGCAGCTGAGCTGAACGGGTGTGTAAAAGGGAACACCTACATTTCAGAACACAGCAATGACTTGTTAGTACTGGCAACAGAGGCCAATTTCTTAATAGGCCAGGAGGTCCCATGTTCTCTCCTTCAATGTAAATATTTGAAATTAAAGTATTTTTTTTTCTATTTGTTATGCAACATTTTAATAAAAAAGGAAAAAATAACACTACCTAGAAAAGTAACAGCAGGAAGAGACAGCTCCATGCATTAGGCTTTGAAGACAGCACCATGGGGGTTCAGCTGCCACATTGACAAAGCTGTCCCTGTCGCTCTCACCTTTCCCTGCTGCTGCCACGCAAGTACTTCACAGCTGGCAGCCAGAGAGCCCCTGAATCTGGCTGCATAAAACTCCATGGACTGATGAAGCCCTTCCAAAGCTTGGCGTGCACACAGCAGCAGGACATGTCTTGTCTCATTTTCCCCCTCTGGGGAAGCTCGCCCTTTTAGCATGTGCTCAGGTCTGCAGTATGGCAAGGCAATCTACTCCTGGACAAGTACTTCAAAATCTATTTAGGTGAAAAATAATGCACTTTTCTAGAGGGCCTGCCTAGGTATCATCTACTGGTGCACAGAAATCATTACCAAGCAAGCAAGGTCGTGTTTTTCTGGGCTACATAAATGCATCCATTACCCTTGTCTGAATTAGCAGCTTCAGGGCAATGTCCCATC